GTGTGTGTGTGTGTGTGTGTGTGTGTGTGTGTGTGTGTGTGTGTGTGTGTGTGTGTGTGTGTGTGTATGTGTGTGTGTGTGTGTGTACTTCAGGGAACCACTCTCAATAAAAAGAAGCACAATAAAAAGGGAAATATGTGTCATGTCCTTGCTAGCCCTCGAAGGAGAGCGAGTCTATTTCAGTCACCACAAATCGAGGTACTCAAAAAGCATTCAATAGCAGAGATTTTCCTTTCACACACACACACACACACACACACACACATGTATACACACAGAGCTGTACAGAAAAGACCAGTCATTTTTTTCTGTAACAAGAGGCTGAGCTATAAAAAAAGATAACAGTGTGAGAAAGAATTAAGAGAAAGAGGAGGAGACAGAAAAAGGGAGGAAGAGAGAGAGAAGGGGGAGGGGAGAAGGTAAAAATAATGTACACTGAGTTCACAAATATTGGTGCACACACTCACACACAAATGTGCGCCCATAAAAGCTAGCTGTTTACCTAGAGGCATGCCTTTGTTGAGGAGATGTGAGCTTCCCATGGTGTGTTCCCCAGCCAGCACACAACAGAAACCTGCAGTCTTCACTCAGCAGGCATGAACAGGAATCCAGTCAGCATATGGCGGCTGTGGCCAGCTACCTCGCTTCCCTTAGTCCTTCTCCCAGCCCCTTAGTGACAAGCATACACATGTGCTCCCCCTTTTTTTTCCCTCTCACTCCCCTCCCTTCCGTCCCCTCCGCTCGCTCGCTTGCTTTCTATCTGCCTTACCCCCTCCCTCGCTCCTTCCCTCTCTGCCTCTCGAGCTACTTCCCTCCCCTTCCTTTCTCACTTTCTATTACAGAACAATCTTTCTGTTTCTCACTGTCACACAAAAAAGAAGAAGCCAAAAAAACAAGTGGACACAGAGATTGCTGCATTTATAGGAAAGGGTGGGCTAGAGAAAGTAAGAGATAGTTGGGGAAGATGGCTCAAATTTTATGTGCATTTGTGTGTGTTCAAAGTGTGTGAAAGAGAGCAGGAATGGGGAGGAGCTAATGTTGGCCAAAATTCATCTTTTGTTTCCTGAAAGACGATAGGGAGAAAGAAAAAAAAGTAGGGTTATGCAATTGCGAGGCTCTAAAAGCTGAAGAACTGGTTCCGCTGATATCAGGAAAGTTATTGTAAAGGTCAAAAACACATTTTTTATCACAATAGACAAGTATCAACAATACATTTAGTTTGTCTTTTAATTGAATGATGGATAGATCGAATTAATTTCCTAATTTCTATTTACTTAGTGGTTTAAATGTTTAAATAAACTATAATATTTATTCAGAAAATTAATATTTGAAGAATACTAGATTTTTAAATATATATATTTATATGAACAGTCWCTATTTTTGCAGATATAAATGAGCTGTATTTATACCCCACTATCAACACTTTGAATAAAATCATGCAGCACATGGATACTGGAAATAAAAAAAACATAAATAAATACAATAAATATACCTTTTAACCACTTAAATAATAAATAAAATAATTTCTTGTATTATTTGAAGGAATTTRTACTTTAATTGTATTGATTCTAAAAGTTGCAGAGAAATGTGCTGGTACCCTTCTATTAATCTTAAAAACCCAACTGATGTGACTGGCCAAAAAGTTAGTTATGTCTCATCACAGTCAACATGCGTTTTGTTGAAAGTCATGTTTAATTCTTCTAATACTGGAGCCATTCTGGGTCTTCTTCCATGTAYGATTCAAAATACTGTACAATAAATGGAGTAATTAGAGAGATATATACCTTCACTTTGAGGTTGGTATAAACGATTTTGGATGGATTCTTTGGCTTTTTTCCTACCATCCACACTGTCTTACTGTTTCTTGCATCCACATCTTAGGAGGTTGGCCACAGTTCCATGAACCTTATATTTTTCAATAACATTAGCAACTGTGGTCACAGCAACATGAAGCCATTCGGAGATGGTTCTGTAGCCTTTACCTTTAACATGGATATCTAGAATCTTTTTGAGCTCCTCAGACAGCGCTYGACTTTGCTTCCTCTGTTCCATGTTCAGTGTGGTGCACGCAGCAACACCAAACTACACAGTGGCTTGTTTGTTCCCTCTAAATAGACTGAATTGCTGATGAAATGCTTSAAGGCACCTGTGACACTAATTAAGGTCACACTTAATTTAGAACATGACTATGATGCATGGATTATTAGTTTTTTAAAGGGTACCAACAAATGTGTTCATGTTGTTGTAGCATACTTTTATCCTAGAAATGACCAAATAATTTATTTGTGCAATAATTCTGTTTATGTCATCATTTACTAAAAGCATGCAGTTATACAAATGCAGACAAATGTGTTCATACCCACTGAAACAATGCTTTTTGATTTTTTTGTAAAAAGCGATTCAGTAAAAGCAACAGTCTAATGTATCTCTGCAGGCCTTTAGTAGAGGCTATATTTTGTGTTATTTGCTAACAGACAAACAATTGAGCAGACAGGCATAAATGTTACTCATCCACCTGTTTTCTACTGTCAGACACATATAATGGTGTACTGTAACAACAATTTCTCAAACTTCCCATTTCTGTGCCATGATTGGATCAGTCCCTTTAGCCTGTACCTGCCGGGAGTCTCTCTGCTGTAGAGCCCTCTATACTCAACAATGACAGGGAAATAAGCAGCCTTGGATGCCCCCTCAAACTGACAACATAGTTTAATGGCAGTGGTGGTTACATCACATTCTTGCCACTGGTAAATGTCACAGTTGGCGTGTTGTTCCAAACCAAAACAAAAAAATTATAAAACTTTTTTCTTTATTCT